CTTAAGTTGAATTTGTATGCAAATTGGAACAGGTACATTTTTTAAGTGTAACTCCAGCCCAAAACATTTGTTTGAGTTTTGGATAGCATAGGGAAGGGTTAACCCCCTGTAAAGTTTTTTTTTTTTGCTGTCTGTGCCCCTATTCAGAAAATTTCACCTCACTTTCTGTCCCTGTGACAATTGGATTTTCAAAATTGGAAACAAGGATTGGTGATAAAGCTTCAGTGGATACACCTTTTTCCCATGATGACGCTTACAGGAGTGAATTTCCCTTCCTAGGGGTAGATTTCCTTTCACTTACTGTTGTCTCAAGAACAGGAAGTGAGATTAAATCTTCCTAATGGGGATACAGACAGCAGTATAAACCTCACAGTGACCTGGAAGAAGAGGCGGGCACCCCTCGTCTGCACATCTAACAAGAGTCAACTTCCTGTAATCTACGTACAGTATTACGAACCAGACTCCTCGTCGGCACGAGCTCGGTAGCATTACAACTACTGAAATGCTGTGCGTTACCCTTTGGCTGCAGCCTGGGACCCCTTGCTGTACAGTAATAGCCTCCGTTTGTAAGTCGGATGTTTGTAACTCGGGGACTGCCTGTATATTAGAAGTTTGAGTTGTCAGGACTTCTCTCTTTGTATCCTCGATACTAAATTATATCTCACTAGTACATGTGATTGACCACCAACTTCTTGTGATCACCCAAAGACATGACGGGGTATTCCTAATGAAATGAGTGAACTGACAAAGTGACTTGTTTCTCCTTGGTTAGGATGTGTGCAGACATATTTGTGTTGACTTGTATAATAGAATTCTATATTGTTTGAGCGCAGTGTGTAAATAGGGAAAGCTCCGCGTGTCCATTATTCATCACACAAAGCACCTCCTGTGGTTGTATGATAACACAGCAGTAGCTGCATGAAATCCTTCAGGGATCCCTCATTTGTTTAGGGACAAAGCTTAGGGAGTTCCTCTTAGGACTTAAATGTTTATTTGTAGAGGTGCACCGAAATGGAAATTAAAAAACCGAAACGAAACCGAAATTAAAAAAAATGTCAGACCGAAACCGATACCAAAAATGTTTTTTATTTTTTATATTTTATTTATATTTATTTTTTATAAACTTTTTAATTTTTTTATATTTATTTTTATGAATTCATTTTTTATTAAATATTTCTATTTTTTACTATTAGGGGTCTAAACAGACCTCTGATATTTCCCTTTTATAATAGAAAAAGAGATTGAGAACACAGCGTCCCCAATCTCTTTTTCTGTATCCCCTGTTATCAATGAACAGGAATCCTCTATGAGTGTTCCTGTTCATTGATAACATGAGTACATGGCATGTTTACTATAACCACAATTATGAATGAACAGGAGGAGATGTAGATCACTCCCATTCATTCGTAATTGAGGATATAGTTAACATACCATGTCCTCAATTATGTGCACACACTCAGCAATCACTGATCGCTGAGTGTGTGTATCTTGCTCTCCTCTCTGACACGCTGTCACAGGAGTCTGATGGAGCGGTGTAGAGAGGAGAACTCAGCCTTATGTGACAGCGCTGTCTCCGCCACCACACCGCTCTGCCGGACTGTGATGGGCGGCAGAGCCGTGTGGGAGGAGACGCCGGCCGTTCACAGCGCTCTCCACCGCAGCGCTCGGCCGGCTGTCACTTTCTCTTCTCCCCGCTGGGACATAGAGCAGCGCCCAGCGGGGAGAAAAGAAATCACGGATGCGCCGATGTATCGGCAGGAAAATGGCACTTTCGGCACTATGCCAAAAGTGCCATTTTCGGCCGATATGTTTCGGCGGCCGATATATCGGTGCATCCCTAATTATTTGTACTTCCTGTACCAGACTTCTGTGATCGTATTCCATACAGAGATTTGTAGGGCAGGGGTGGGCAACTCCGGCCCTCCAGCTGTTGTGGGACTACAAGTCCCACGAGGCATTGCAAGACGGACCGTTACAGGCATGACTCCCAAAGGAAGAGGCATGTTGGGATTTGTAGTTAAAGTACAGCTGGAGGGCAGGAGATGGCCACCTCTGCTCTAGGGGTTATCGGTGTACAATGCAATCAGTATCCCTGAGGAACAACTGCGAGATAACATGTTACCCACATAAAGAGTACATTGTTTTCAGTATGTCTGGCCAGACTAATAGGGGAGCTTCATGACAGTGCTGGGCCACTGAGCAGGAGGCATAGTCTACATGTGTAATAAGAATACCCGCTTCTACTGAAGATCTACAGACAAACTACATCATGAAATCAAAGGCAAAACCATTCTTCTAGTTTGGAAGGGGTGGGGTAAGGTTACCACCTTATTGCTGCCTGTGTCCCCTTTGGGGATATTTCCATTCATTGTTCTAAAGTCCCTGACCCTACAGTTGTGATCCAAACCAGAATCAAAGGGATAATCCCCCCACTGACAACATGGTACCGGGCGGGACCGGAGGTGATGGGAAATCTCCCAATGGAAACATTTGTTCCAGTAACAACAATAAAAAATGGTATTTCCCCTTATTTCCAAAGAAATCCTGCCACGTAATCTAATCCTTCCCTACTCTGTCCAACACGTGTCTGATGTCCTTTGCTTTTTTCTGCACTATGAGTTATGTCATGCAAAGCTGTTATTGCTATTCAATAGGGATGTACTGATACCGATGCGAGTATTTGTACTCTTCCCAAATGCTCCGATACTTACCTCCAATACCTGAACTTCCTGTCAGAGGGAGATTTCCTCTGATTGGCAGTGCCGCGAGGGAACATGGAGTCGGCTTCCATGCTGATTGGCCGGATCAATGCTGATTGGCCGGAGAGCCGGCTTCCCAGCCAACCAGCATGGAGCCGGCTTCCCCGCCAATTGGGAAGCCGGGTGGCAGGTAATAACTCACCGCCCCCAATAACTCACCGCCCAGCCTCCTGATTGGTAGGGAACCGGCTCAATGCTGATTGGCCGGGAAGCTGACTCCATGCCAGAGGAAGCACTAGTATCAGTACTCGTGCTCGATGACAAAAAAAACCCGGTATTGGTGCATCCCTACTATCTGCCATATAGATTCAGTTATGTCACATGTTGTTACCTCTTATAGTTTAACAGTTTTCAGTGGCACCATTATGCAGCAAAGTGGCTGTGATTTGGGCTAGTTATGTCTGTGACATGTACATGTCTGTGTACGAGGATGTCTGCACATGTCTGTGTACGAGGATGTCTGTACATGTCTGTGTGCAAGGATGTCTGTACATGACTGTGTACGAGGATGTCTGCACATATCTGTGTACGAGGGTGTCTGTACATGTCTGTGTGCAAGGATGTCTGCACATGCCTGTGTACGAGGATGTCTGCACATACTTAAGTTGAATTTGTATGCAAATTGGAACAGGTACATTTTTTAAGTGTAACTCCAGCCCAAAACATTTGTTTGAGTTTTGGATAGCATAGGGAAGGGTTAACCCCCTGTAAAGTTTTTTTTTTTTATTTTAGGCTTTATGTACCTGGTATGTTACTCCCAAATGACTCTGGTTCATTGGTTGCATAGTAAAGTGAATTCGATCACCTTCCATATAGCGGCATATTTATAGAGCAGTGCAGGTGATGTTCACCAGTCAATCACTGGTGTTGTAAACACATGCATCAGAAAGATTCACTTGCATTGAATGTTTGGTGAAGTTAAAGCAGCTCCTTCATTGTGAATGGCCGGCCAGCACACTCCGCCGTGTCCAGAATTGGAAATGATCCTTTCTTTGTAACGCAACACATTATTGTCCATTGTCCTGCGTTGCAGCACACTAGAATACAAATTAATGGCACAGCATTGCACCAACGCACATGATCTTGCATTAGGATAACGTGTCCATTACCACAATGCAAAAGTCCTTTGTGAGGGGAGGCAAGAGGTGTAATTAGTAATGGTGGGGAGGTGTTCTGTAGTGCAAATCAGGAGAGCAGTGTAGGGTGATAGTGTTGTTTTTCCATTGATGCAGTACAGTGAGAGATAGACATGGGACAGGAGGCGTAATACTGGCAGGATCAGCAGGTATGAATGAAGCCACAACAAGGACTAGAAAGCTGCAATATATATGACCTTTTTGTTCTTGGGTGTATTCCAGACTCAGTGAACAGGCATTTAAAGGGTAATTCCACTATTCCAGGTGAATTTGGGACAATGGAATTACCCTCTTCCAATCTGCTTCCCCCCCCTTCCCTGCTGTACTTAACTTTGGCTGAATGCTCCTTCCCCTCCGCCAATGCCGATGTACTACCCGCACCCAATAAATGCTCGCCATTTCGTGGATGAAATTTAAAATACAGAGTGCAGGGTGTTCTGCTGTGTACGGAGTACAGGTATTACACCAGCACCGGCGGAGGGGAAGGAAGCTCAGCCAAAGGTAAGTACAGCAGTGAGGGGTAGGGATGCAGAGAGGGAGCCAGAATGGGGGGTAATTCCATTTTCCTACATTCGCCTGGAATTACCCTTTTAAGTGCAACTATTTCAGTCCTCACAATGGGATAAGGTGCTCATTTCAGATCAATGAAGAAAATGATAAAACATAATAAAGGTATAAATGAGCCTCAGATCTCTCTGTGCTATAAATATACATTTGTCATGTGTCTATTTTATGGGAGCCTGCGTTGTTTACGAGGTACGTGTTTCCATCTTGTGTTCCAGGAAGCCATGATGTGTCACCAAAGCCAGCTGCTCTGGTTTCGTCATATTTACCTTCTATTCTCCCGTTACATGGCTATCAACTCGTTACACTTTCTTCATGACACAAAGACAGAACAACATGGCTGATAACACTCAGTCCTCAAGCTGAACTTGTCAGAAGTCTGTTCTTGCTGCATGTAAACCAATGACCTTGGCCGGGCTATAGAGACAAGCTGGAGATGAAGGGCAAGGCTGCTCGGCCTGGTGAATGAAATGAATCTCTGTCCTGGTAAAGGACCGTTAAACTTGTAAGATGCTTTATCTTTATTTATGTGGACATTTTCTCTTATGGCAACAAATATGACATTGGGGCTCACAGAAAGGTGACGTTGTCTACAGTAATCACATTCCAGCTACACCATACAAGACTGTGACAGCAGACATCTGACTTATCACTATGGACACTACTGCTGGTTTTCTGGTGCTAAAGACCTTTCTCTATTTTTGTTGATTTTTTACATTTTAAATAAAGTTTAGTATACGCACTGGACATCTACATGGTGTTATGGATGGCCAGTGTTTTGTTATTGCAGCACACTTCTGCTGTAGTTGCTGATTCCTGGTTGTGACATCTGTACTTTGTGCTCAGGAATGTTTGTTTCTGGTGTAACATATCTTCTCTGTGTATTATCAAAAAAGAAGTTGACCAGGGTGAAAGTCTGAGCATCCAAAGGTCAGCTTGTAAGTAAGGAAAACCCTCGCACACCTAGAGAAACAAGGGAAATTATTCAGCCTTTCTTAGATGGATGTATTGTGCTCTCTGGAGCTATTTCTCAGCACATTACAGTATTTTCTTTATTCAATCACAGCTGTTACAGTAAAGAACCACTAACTAAAATAATCTTCTATTTCCTTGTACTTCATGCCGGAACATGTGCGCTTCTTACATGGAAAATGGCATTATCTCCATTAACTATCTCAGTATAAACAGCTTAAACATTAATCCTGGTTTATTGCACAAATGCCCTTTACACTACTGTGTGGTAATTCAAAAATGCCCCAGAAATCTAGTACGTTGCCAAGCTAAGACAGGGTCACTTTTTTCTGGAGAAATCCCCACTCAATTTACCTGTATGAAACCCGGGCAATATTTATACGCTTCAGTTCTCAGCTACCATCAGTAGGGGCAAGAAAGCGTACCACAGACACAAACCGATTTGTTTGAGACTAACTTGGCTGTCACCACTGGTGCCGCATAGGATGTAAGTCGTGCACAAGCTTCTTACAGGCTTAGCATTTGAAACCTTTTCTTTTAACAGAGGGCACTTGTATATTATCTGCCTGCTGCAGGGATGTATTTTCATATCAATGTAGACTTCTCCCCGTTCTACAGCCAGACAGCTTGTTAGAAGTGCTGAGAGTTGGTGTTTTAGGTTCTTCCAATCTCCTTCATTTTACAAATGCTACAAAATAGAGATTTGAGGTATCTGATGGTAAGGAGCCAGCACAGGTACACAGAGACTAGAAGATGTATTCATGAGTGTATAGAAAAGATTTATTTCACGTGATTGAAGGGGGCATGCCACGAAGGCAGAAGAGTATAAAACTAGTGATGGAAGGAAATGCAGAAACATACAGAAAGAAAACACATGTACAGAACATTCTCAGGACTTTGACATGTTGCGAATGGACTTGTGTTCTTTCATAGCCTTTTCCCATTCCTTCCCATTGATCTGTTCCACATGGAGGCTGCGGACTGTCCCTTCATCCAGGCAATGTGCTGCTATACCTAAGGAGAGGAGAAGTCTGATCATCCACAATGCACATTCATCGGTTAAACGGAAGTTCTTTAAATTGTTTTTTAGAGGATTGAGGTGAGGAGGAAGTGTAAGAAGCACTTTCATGTCCCGGTATAAAATATCCTCTGCTCTGGTGTCTTGTATTATGCACTTTGAAGAACAGGAAATCACCAGCACTCAGTAATGAAGATAAATATGTCCCTTTTATTGGACAAAATGCATCACAGAAATCCAAGAGGTTCTTTTGGATTTCTGTGACGCTTTTTGTCCAATAAAAGGGACATATTTATCTTCATTACTGAGTGCTGGTGATTTCCTGTTCTTCCTGTGTCTGCACGGCGCCATCCGTGATCAATCATCACTGCGAGCACCATCTTTACTTATTTGGCCGGGACTGCTGTGAGGTGTGCGGAGGGCCCCTCCAATGACTTACATTTGTATTATGCACTTTGACATCTTTCACCCTCCAGCTAACTCTGCTGGAAGCTGGAATGCCTGTGGTGAGTACTAATGCTTGAGGCACATCAGAGAACCACAAAATAACCTCTGCCTCTGGAATTTCCCATTGACCTATATGGATCTGACACCTAGGTGGAGGGATAAAAAAGTCATTGGGACCCAGACGTGTACTGCATGGAAAACAATACAATCTAACTGCTTTGTAGTGGTCTAATGCCTTACCTAGAAATACAGATACCTTTCATTCAGCAACAGTGGAATATCCAGTGTCTGAATGTGTCCTCATTTCATAGAAACTCTATACTTACTAGAAAGTCAACTAAATAGGCTCCTTCAATGATATTAGAGCGATGTTGTCAGAGGCGGGACTCTTTGTTGGAGGTAGATCACTGGGAAGCAGTTACCCTTTCCAGATAAGCCTTCTTGATAGATTGATGAAGGGTGATCTCTGCCTACTGGCTCAGGGATTGATAAGCATGGAGGTCCCCTAAGGCCCTGTTCACACCATTACATTCCATAAATGCGCGCCAAATGTGGGAAAACCTGCGCACTTTAGTGCATTTTTGGAATGGGCCAATAACGCAAAATGCGCTTGCTGTGCCACTACTACTTAATGGCACTCCAAATGCAGCTGGGCAAATGTGTAGTTCTCCCACGCGTTAGCGTGCGTTCAAACTGTCACACATGCGCATGAAAAAAACAGAGTGCATGTCACAGATTTTGAAACATGCATTACTTGCCCGCTTTTGGCGCACATTCAGGAGTCTATTGAAATCAATGGGGATGCGTGCCAAACGTGGAGAAAAAAATGCCCACGAACGTGCTTTACCACGACGCACCTTCGTGCAATGCCATGATGTCAATGGGGAGTGAGGGATTGATGCTGAGGATAATACTACCGAAACCTCGGTGCAAGAAACCATGAAGGGCCCCACCAACTCCCCACTGCCATGGGAAGGAGCTGCGGTGATTTGGCCTGCTGCATGCTGGGAGCTGAGGCAGTTAACAGGGCCCTCTTCCTCCTGTCTGGTTACCCCCAAGTGGCAGAACTACCAGAGTCGCAGCTGCGACTGGGCCATGGCATTCCATCACTTAGGGGGCCTGTTAAGTTCCAAGGTGCAGACATTGCCTCCTAGGACTACAGCTCCCAGCAGGCAGACGCTCCACAGCTCTTTCCCATGCTGGTTAATATGGGGGCATGGGGAGTAGTATATGAGAATAGTTTGCATGGGGGGGTCAGACACAGACAGTAGTCTATTATAGGTGGAGAGGTTGGGGGATGCCCACTGGATGGAACATAGACAGTATGGAGGGGGACACAGACATCAGTAAGTGATGGAGCGGGAATGAGGATGACATATCAGCTACCCTTGGTACCTACAGCTCTCCATCCTCCTGTTCTCTGTGCCTGCTGATTACCGCACCTCTCCCACCAAAGGCCACGCTGCCTGGACCTCCAGTCCGTATCTTTCACCTCCCTCGCTGCGTTGCCTACTGGGAAATGTAGTTATCCCTCCCCACCCCCAAGCTACAGCGTCTGCCACACTGCTTAATTTCACGAACGCTGTGGGAGGCATGAGGGAGCTGCGGGCCCTCTTCTTCCTCTCTAGGCCCCCCTAACTGGCGGAATGCCAGGGCCTGGTGGCAATTGAGGCCGCTGCAACCCTGGTAGTTCTGCCAGTGATCGAACCCATCCTTATGGCATAACTATACCATCACATCTGAAACGCAGCAGAGACACTTATGACACCCGTGTAGCAGTATGTCACTTTTTAATGAAATATGTTTGACGCTGTTGCTTTCCTGGGCCGTTATGTTAAGCGTCTTTGATGAGGAAATGCAGCGTGCTCATGATATTAGTTTCTGACACTTGGAAGATCATTCAGGAACTCACTGAAGGTGCATGTGACCGGCTTCAGCTGTTTTTGCATTCCCATAAACTGAATGAGGAGAGCAGGATTTCTGAAGGGAACAAAAGCCCATCAACAAGGGCCCTAATATTACAAGATTGCCTTTCAACACATGTTCCCTGCCATCTATATAAAAGCTGCTGGCAGTAACACAAGTTCAGCTTTAATATATTCATCTCCAGGTGGCAGTAAAATTCATTCAATCATTGTTGCAAAATCATTATGCTATTTTTTGTTTCCAGGGATTTGAATTCTCCCCATAGTGTTTGAGTGATCTTTAATGATTAGAAGCAGACAGTACGCTTCATTCACATGAGTAGTGTTTCCCTGCCTGCCCTGACCAGCGATCCTAATTATACAGGATATGAGTGTTCCCATCACACGCCACTACAATGGAGGGATCACGGCTCCTAGGCTTCATACTGCTACTACTGTGTTTAGCTTCTAAATGCAGGAAATGTATAAATACATTTTGTACCTCCAAGATCACTTTTTTACTGCAGTTAGATGTAGGTTTAAATGCGTTCAGAAGTTCTATTCCGATCCTAGGCACACCAGAATTCTATTTTTCCTAAATGCAGGTAAACGGTCCAGGACTAAACGCATGTAATTACAGCGTGTGAATGAACCTACTGAGAAAATAAGATGCAGACATATGAGTTTAGATTTCTAAGGCCCCATTTACACTGGACTTTAGGATGGGGATTACTGCAGCAAGAAATTCTTGTGGCAGGAATCTCTGGTGTGTCCTTCCAGATGATAGACTGACAACAGCTGGATCTGTTCCGCCTTACAGGCATTAGATTTATTGCCTACCTGCCTTCTCAAAATTGGCCACAAGATGGTGCTGTAGGGAATAAATCTCTATTTACAAAAGAGCAGACACTTTTCCAATGGTAGGCTCCCAGCAACCTCTAGTCTGGGAAGAAGAGAACAAGTGCATTCTGAGAACTAAGCCTCCATTTTGGAACCAAGGAGAAGATAATAATCTGATGCCATCCTGAGTGCATGGAGTAAACACCCAGATTCCCCTTACGGCAGCATCACTTGTTTCTCTGAATATTTGTGAGCTATCATTTTATGTATTGATTGTATGTTTTCATGTTCTTTTTTACCGGTTTCACCCACCCTGGATGGGTTAAACCCTGTTAATAAAGCTTCAAGATTTCATCCAGTCTGGCTTATTGCAGAATAGGAGGGCATAGCAGCATGTCAAGCTATATACAGGCCACAGGGTAATGTGTAGTGGGGACAGAAAAGCATCTGTAATCATAGATGGAAGGATTACCTGTGTTTCGGGATAGATGATTAACCTTGAATGCCGACAGATTGCATCTATGGACAAATATCTATACTGAACCGTAGGTAATCATTCCATGTACATGTGGTCTGCCAGTCAGCCTGTCATTAACTTGAATGGGCAGAATGGCCACATCTGTTCGGACCCTCTTTGGATTCCTGTCGCAAGAATCTGCAGGTTCTCACCATAGGAATCCCCAACCGCCCTATGTGAATGTCGCCTGAATGCATATAAACATATCTTAACTGCATGTGTTCAATTGCCAGTATGAACGAGGCCTACGGCATCACTGCACAGTTCATCCAAGTAGCTAGCTGGGACTGAAATAAACACAGCGGCCCCCATGTAAGATCCGTTCAACTGGCTGTGTTTTGCAGACTTATTAAGTTGTATTGACATCGCGTTCAGTGTTTACGGGGGATAGAAAAGCTTTTTATTTGCTCCTGAACTTCATGTAAGGAGGATACATTCTGTTCTTTAGCTACATTCTGCCACTTTATAAAGCAGCACAATACGAGTAAATGTGACCCCAATTTATAACTTACCATAGCCATCAGGGTTGGAGCGAGGTGTGTAGAAGCTCTGGACTCCGCACGTTTTGCAGAATGTATGTTGTGCTTTTTTGGTGTTGAAGGTGTAAGTGGTGAGATTATCGGCACCCTGCATACACAAAGGTTACAAGTGACACACTATTTGCAGAAACAACACATGCAAGCAATCATTTTATTCCATAACTGTGTTATTGAAAACAATGAATCATTCATGTCAAAAAGTGTATGGCAAACCTCATTACTGGAACATCTTAACCATTTCCAGACCAAGGAACCGTAACCTTCATGCCCAGGCCAAATTTAGTTTATTCAAGAAAATAATTTTCACATAATTTTTTAGCACATATGCTGACTTCGTTTAGTAGTTTGGTGTATATTTAGAGTGTTTTTAGAAACAATCAGCTATAACATAACCACCCACCTAATATTGAGTAGGTCTTCCTTTTGCCACAAAAACAGCCCTGACCCATGGAGGCATGGACTTCACTAGACCTCTGAAGGTGTGTTGTGGTATCTGGCACCAAACCGTCACTAATATGTCCAGTAATATGTGAGGTGGGGCCTCCATCGATCGGACTTGTTTTTCCAGCACATCCCACAGATGCTCGAGTCGACTGGATTGGGATCTGGAGAACTTGGAGGCCAGATCAACACCTCAAACTCTTTGTTGTGTTCCTCAATCCATTCTTCAACTATTTTTGTAGTGCGTATTATTGTGTTGAAAGAGGCCACTGCCATCAGAGAATACCATTCCCTTCCTCAGCAACAATGTTTAGGTAGGTGGTATGTGTCAAAGTAACTTCCACATGAATGGCAGGACCCAAGGTTTCCCAGCAGAACATTGCCCAAAACATCACACTGCCACCACCGGCTTTCCTTCTTCCCGTAGTATATTCTAGTGCCATGTCTTCCACAGATAAGTGACACACACGAACCGGGCCCTCCACATGATGTAAAATATTGCGTGATTCATCAGACCAGGCCATCTTCTGCCATTACACCGTAGTTCAGATGCTCACATGCCCATTGTAGGCAATTTTGGCCGTGGACATAGGTCAGCATGGGCTCCCTGACTGCTCTGGAGCCATGGTCTGGTCACAGCCCATGCACAACAAACTGCAATGTACTGTGTGTTCAGACACCTTTCTATCAGAACCGGCATTAACTTTTTCAGCAATCTGAACTACAGTAGCTCTTCTATTGGATCGGGCTACATGGGCCAGTCTTCACTCCCCACGTGCATCAGTGAGTCTTGGCCACCCATGACCCTGTTGCCATTTCAGCGGTTTTCCTTTCTTGGACCATTTTTCATAGATCCTGACCACTGCAAACCAGGGACATCCCACAAGAGCTGCAGTTTTGGACTGGCTCTAACCCAGTCGTCTAGACATCACAATCTGGTTCTTGTCAAAGTCGCTCGAATCCTTACAGTTGCCCAATTTTTATGCTTCCAACACCTCAACTTCAGGGACAAAATTTTAATTTGCTGCCTAATATATCCCACCCACTTCCAGGAGCCATTGTAATGAGATAATCAATGTTATTCACTTCACCCCTCAATGGTCACAATGTTATGGCTGATCAGTGTATATTATAAACAGCAGAGAAGTGGACAAAAATGCCAAAAATACAGTTTTCATATGAATGCATTTTATATAATTGATACTATTCCAAATATTTATATAAAATTATTTTCTCTTATTCACCCTGACTATAGGGACCCCACATATGTGTAGGTTCTAATACATGCATCAGTGCCGTATGCTCAACAAACAAGTGCATATCATTTCGATTTCTAGATATTCAGCATTTTCCAGGTACAATGACTGTAATTCAACTGCCCCGGGACAATGGAAGTGTATAGGATGGCCACTGCAAATTGGTTAAAATAAAAAGATGAGGCTGTGCCTATTTTTAGCCTTAAAATGATTCTTCTACATCTGGCATGTGGGGCAATGTGGTTTATGTAATTGTAGTTTATGTATGTATCTGTTTCCGGATCACGTGTGTTTTTTTCTTTTCTTTTTATTTCTTTCTATTTGCTACCATCACTAAAATGGTGATACGTCCTCTATGTGACAGGTGCTCTTTATGGAGGCATAAGGGGTCTGAAAAGGAGTGTTGGCATTATATGGTTTGGGGTTTGTTTTCTTACTTTTATGGGTTTTAAGGGTTGCTCATGATGATCACTTGATCAATAACCACTCAGTGACCAGTACTAGTCAATGTCCCCCCTACAATAACCTTTTTATTTTTTTTCAGAACTCACTTTTTATTTGTTTGTTGTTGTTGTCTTTAGATATCTGGATTTCATGCAATTTATAAATGTTCCCTCTAGTGGTCGTCTGTGATGGTTCATCATCTATCACAAACACATTACCTTTTTCAAACTAGTGCAGCATACGTACATATCTAGAGAGCACTTGATTCCCCCATACATGGAATACAGCATGAAGGAAGGAATCCCCAATGCCAGCAACTGTAAGAATCCCTGAACTTCATCTGACAGGATGCTGTCACTGGTCGGCTGATCATTTTCCACCTGACTCGGATGATTTTAAAATGGACTTTTGTCAGGCTGGGTGGTGCGGGCAGAAAAACGCATGTCGCTGGAAAAAGTACATGAGCTACATTTTGGCAGATTATAGCGTGTTTTGCCCTCATAGACTTCAATGGAATACGCCTGAAAAACGTACAACACAAGCGTGAAAATCAATCCTCTCAAATCGCGTGACACATGCATGTGAAAGCACGCAAAACACACGTATAAATGCGCAAAAACACTGTCACCTAGGGGTGAATGGAGTCTAATATAGCAGCTCACCCACTTGCTGCATGTGCATGTGTCATGACAGCTTAGGTCAAGGCCAGTTTTATGTTACATTATACAGGAATTTTTTAGTGACCCCCTCAGTGGGCTATCCCCGCACTGGAAGGGTTAAGTGCTCTTTTGTTTATAGGTTCCAAAAAAATAAAATTAGACTCACCCGAAGCTCCGCTTTGCATCCAATCTTTGCTTTATAGCTCAACATTTATAGCTTCCCCTGATACTCTGCTGCCCCACTGTGATACTTTCTGTGTTATTCCTCACACGCACTGTGCGTTGGTTTTGTATTTTCTTTATGTTCAGGACTAAAACAAAATGTACATCCTAATAATACACTTTTTATTTGCTCTTTTAATCTGTTCAATATATCGTTGAAAGCAAATTGTAATATCTGTTACTTATAAGTACAAAAAATACTTGTTGATCCCACCAGAAATCTGGGAACTTCCTGCGCTGGTTTTATTTGTTCACAGTATTACTTTGGGGGCTACAGAACAATTCCCTCCTATGTTATAGGGATGAGGAAGGGAGGGGGTATTTTTTAATACTATCCCAGGATGACAGCACTGCTCCTCCACAGATACAGTACAGCGAGTTAGCGTTGGCACTCACCTGATCCTCAGTCCCTCCCAGGCTCTGGCGGTCTATGGTCCCATGACATCATCAGGCCTATAAAGTCTATTAGATGTTAGGATCGGAGAGGGAGAGAGGTGAGCGGCTACTGCTGCAGGACCGAGGATCGGTCTGTCCCTATAGACCAAAACGAGTGCTTAACCCTTTCAGTGTAGGGGTAGCCCCAGTGCAAGGGTTAGTTTACAGTTACTTTAAGTGTGATGCAAATGTGGTGACTGACAACGAGTAGTCACATCTCTCAGTAGTAAGGAGATGAAAATCCCAACGCCAGACAAAACATCTTCTTTTATGTTTGGATTGGGGAAGTATTGGAAGTGGCAGCTTTTATTACTGTGTGTCCCTGTTGGGGATGTCGCTGGTACGGGAATTGATGGGACTTCTATCCAGCTGTTAAGACACAACAATCAAAAACGGTTTTTCTTAAAGGAGAACTATGGGGTCAGTGTTTTTCCCCATAGTTCTCCTTAGGGTACCGGGAGGACACAAACTAGCGTCCTCCCGTCACCCTAGGCTCGCGGTATACTGAGACGCCGGAGCGGATCCCGACTTAGATGACGGGATCCGGTCAGCTGCGTGAGTGACAGCTGGCTCTGCCTATCTAGAGGCAGAGCCAGCTGTACCCGCCCCTCCCCCGTCCGTTCCGCAGAGTCCCCGGGCCCTTCTCAAGTCCCAGAACGTTTTGTTCCTTTTAAAGATGTCTCTGTTCCGCACGTTATATCTTTGAGGTTATGTAGTCTACATATTTTATTTTTTGAAGAACAGATAGGGCTTTAATGTGGTAAGAAATTTGGACACGTATATTTTTATTTCCTCGGGTTTTACTGGGAATAAACGGTAAACAAAATGCATTTTCCTGTCATTATTCCCAGCGCAATGTGTCTGTAATTTGATCACCTCCATATATTATTTATATAATCAACAAAGTGCGCTGATTAAATTAGGATTCCATGAGAGCATGTCGCAAATAAATATATATATTTTTAATACACTTTTTAATAAAAACCTTTAGTTTTCCTTCATGGGGGGGTCTGGATAAGAGAGCGCGGATCAGGTTAGTAAATGTCAACACGATACCTAGACATTAACGAGCAGTTAACCCTTGCAGTGCGGGTGGGCTTGGGCCTTTTACATTACCATGGAGATGGGATTTTATACAACAGTTCCCTGAGAGGAAGAGACCTCACAGCAGCATAGAGCTGGCTTGGAGCTCCATCAAGTGGCTTGAGAGGCACAATATAAATGAGTCATATGCCAACTTAACAAAATGAATAAAGAAAATATATTTAAAAAAATGCTATAAATTCTTTTCTGACACGCAAGAGCCAATTGATGCGGCTTTTGGTTCATGTCAGGGCCGCTGTATGTATGCCGGCTGTAAAAACGGTGCCAAGATCACTTCAGGACAGCGCCATGTGTGTATATATATATATATTTATATATACATACATATATATATACATGGCGCTGTCCTGAAGTGATCTTGGCACCGTTTTTTACAGCCGGTGATGACTGTCACATACGAGAGTTCAGCTGCTATAGAGCTGCATGATCCAGTGATTCCAGTGGGTGAGGCATTTCCCAGCCTTGCCCCCCGCCTGGCGAAACCGCGCCCCCTGCCGGACAAAGCTCCGCCCCAACCTGTCCCCAAGCTAGTGTAAAGGAGGAAGGGAGGAGCCGACCTGTCCCTCACTGCTGAGGCGCTCCGTCCATGACAGGTTACACAGCGGGGAGGATTTCCCTGCTGTGTAACCTGTTAGATGCCGATCTGAATGGTGAAAAAGCTGTCAAGCTCTCTTTCCCATTTACGTGGACCCCGTCTCTTAAATACCTCGGTATCCGACTGACCCCGACTTATGACACCTTGTACGCTGCCAACATTCCCCCCCTCCTTAAAACCCTCAATAATTTGCTGATATCCTGGCAGAGATTTCCAATTTCTTGCATAGGCAGGATCCACGGAGTGAAGATGACCTTCCTGCCTAAGTTGCTTTATGTCTTTCGGGTCCTGCCGATCCCCATTCCCGGCCACATTCTCCGTATCCTACAACACAAGGTACTTGCGTTTATCTGGGGCAACTCTCCAACCCGTATAAACCAAAAACTGCTCTATCGCTCTAAATCTTGTGGAGGTCTTACAGTCCCGAATCTCCGCTCATACTACATTCCTGCCACCATTGCCCCTTTTACACTCAAAAACTGAACTCCCGCTTTGGGCATGTTTGGACATGGTAGACTGCCATCACCTGCCCCTTTCATCCCTACTGTGGCTGTCCCTGACTGACCGCCCTCCCACCCTTACTCCTATCCTTCGCACTCCTTGAAAGTGTGGGACGGAGTTCGGTACTCCAGCAACTTGATGTCACCTCATCTACCCTTGCTACCCTGGATCAATTCTCCCTTATTCCCCCCTGGCGCTAGCGACCCTTACTCGTTCTCCTGGTGGTCACGAAACGACCTGACCACAGTGCACTCCCTTATCTCGCTCTCAGGTGTGAAATCGTTCCAGCAACTTCGTGAACCTAGGTCTAATACCCTCCGGGAATGGTTCCGTTACGCTCAAATAAGCCACTTCATTAATTTGCTACAGAAGAACACCTCTGCTCCCAAGAGACTGACCCTATTTGAGCGCTGCTGCTACTCTGACCCACACGCCCCAGGTGTCATGTCTTTTATCTACTCTTCTCTGTTGCTCCTTACCAATGTCAGTGGCATGAGGAATTGGGCAGATCAATGGCCCCTGAGGACTGGCAGCATACTTGGTTAGCGATAGCCCGTTGTTCCTGCAATCGAGAACTCCTACAAGGTGATGTATCGTTGGTACTACACGCCTGCTCGTCTGGCGAGATACGTTCCCTCCTACTCTCCGCACTGCTTCCGGGGCTGTGACGCGCCGGGCACCATGTTCCACATTTGGTGGACATGCCCCCAGGTAACATGTCTTTGGAACAGTGTATACGACCTAGTAAACTCTCTCTTCCAACTTACCTTACAAAGGGAACCGTGTGAGGCATTGTTGCTGCAGCCAATTCCACAATTGACGCGTTATCAGAAACTCCTGGTATCCCACATCTTTGTCGCCACCAAAATTACGATTGCCAGAGCGTGGAAAACCCCAATCCTGAGTCTTGGGGATGTCAAGAATCGTTTGGACGATATTTTGGTGAACGAGAAACTGTCTGCGATATTATCCGACACTCACGACCGCTTCCCACTGATTTGGCAGCCTAGGATTGATTACTCTAAACCACCATCCACAGCTCCTATCCATCTAGAGACTCTGTACTTCTCTCCTCCTCCTTCAAACTCCTTCCCATCTGGACCTTGTGGTCTGTTATATGTGGTTGTAAGCCTTATAGGCCTCGCCTCCTTGAGGATCAGGCTACTGACCTGCTATGTTTCCCAGTCTGAACAGTCTGATTGGATGCAGGCAATGTTCAGGTATTTAAAGAGCCAGAGGGGCCGACTAGCAAGATACTGAAGCTTGGCCCAGCGGGAGATTCCTCCATGCACACAGTATAGCGTCTATGGAGGAATCTGTTGCAAGTTTTCCATCTGACCATAGACTGATAGAAGAAAAGGTGATTAAAAAAAAGTAAAAAATATAAATAATAATAAAAAAAAAAATGTAAAACCAACCCTGCCATCTGATTCGAATGATCACATGCACGAAAGGCATGCACATGTATGTAAATGGAGAAAGTTCTAACAAAAACAAATGTACAGAAAATATTGGCACATCAGCACTGTGCCTGGGAACACACACCAGCAGCTGCCGGTGTGAATGCAGCCTACATGGCGGACCTGGGTGTGGAGACGGACTGAACGATTGTTCTGTCCGGACCGCGATTTGGACCTCTGCTCGATGAAAATTTTACTTACCGGAGTTCCTTGTATTTCAATGCACAGGGACACGTGAGGCTGTATAACTTAAATGGCGGACATATTTCCATGCTTGGAATACACAACTACAGCGTTCAGCCGCCCATATGAATAAATAGGTGATTTATGGGGGTTAACGCTGCTATTTGCATAAACGTGTGCATGCATATGGCTAGGGATGCACCGATACAAGCATCGGTATCGGCGGCGATACCAAGTATTTGCATGAGTACTCGTGTAAATACTCTGATACACATATGGCCATACAATCCTGTACACAGACATTCTGCGTCCATGGGAATGCGGTTTATGCAAGTAGCAGCATAAACCAGTATACAACCACCCACAGCCATTCATTACTACCGCTGCAGCTGTGTATCCCTGACGCAACAATAAACCTGCAATTGACATTATACGACCTCATACGTCTGTGAGTGTGAGGCCATAGTCTATCGTCACCACGCTACACAAAACACTTACCTTCAGTAATTTGAAACGTGATGCAGGGACGATGAAATGGCGGTTTTGCTTCTTTACACAGATGCTGCAACTGAAAGAACAAATAATAATTGACCAAAAAAGAATTGCAATCTTTCAGTTTCATTTTTCTAATCTTACGCATGTCAGCGAGTTCCTTTGATTGAAATCTGTGTGTATGAGGGTTCATCTTACAATCGTGAATACAATCCTTTTACACTACAACTGTTGTGAATGAAGATTTTGTGAATCACATCAGACTTCTGTATCAAATAACAAGAAAATCTGATCTTAGAGTCTATGTCAAACCAAAATGGCTCCCTTTGTGTGGGTAAAGGTTGGAACCCCCCATCAGGTTTTTTCTGCCTCTGTGGCCCAATTAGAGAGATTTACACTCACTTCCTGTCCAGCTGACAATGTAGTACCAGACAGGAAGTGAGGGGAACTCTCCAAAAGCAACACCGACAGGAATAAAATTGCTTTTCTTTACTAGAATAGGGGGAAGGTTAGAACCTCTGTCACATTTTCTCCCTCTTGCAGATTCTCCTTCACTTCCTGTCCAGTGAAACTGCTGTCAGCAGGACAGGAAATGAAGGGAAATCCCTCTAAGGGCCAATTCAAATCTAAGTGTAGCATAAATCCCATGTTATCGCACAATGCCTCTAACATGTGTTACAGTGTGCTGCGTATATTGTGTTGCCATTCATCTACACGGCACCCCAATGCACCTCCTGGCTGCCACGCACTGCACTATTTTTTTCCACCGCACCCCTCCCCCAGTTCCCCTGCCTGATATAACGCTAACAGGAAGTGAGAGCAGTGACTGACATATAAGGAGAGCGGCATAAACAGTATAAAAATTGGCATTAAAGGCTAAGTTTACCTTTCTGACCATGTTTCATGATACACCCGTATTTCAGAATGTAACATGGGGATCACCCTGGCACTTGTAGTCCATTCATTCTTTCTCCCATCCATGTTACTAAATGTCCGTGTCACAGACATGGACGGTAGGGAGAATCTGCAGGAGTCAGAGCATTGCACCCGCGATCCAATGTAAAAAAAATAACTGTCTCCAATGCCAATAAATAAATAAATAAATAAATGCACATTTTTTAATGAAGTTCATTTATTATTTTCGTTAAAAGGTGGAATTCTAATGAGTAAAACATATCTCTGGCCAGAGCATCAATCCTTACATTTTCTTTTGCCCCCACAATCCTTTTCATTGAAATAAACTTCACCGAACAATGCAAAATAATTGGCTCTTTAAAACCAAACCAATAAATCAGCATTTACGGGTAATATCCGTGAGGAACAAGAAGGAAATTTTGATTCTAGAAAGAAAAATAATCAAACTGTTTGTGATTTTTTTATTCCAACTTCTCCGGATTTATCACAGCCATTCAGCGTCTACGGTGGATGTGAAATCACAATTTGGAGACATTTTTTGTGTCTGGCCTTGAATCAATCAGCACTGAAATGGCATGAAGGGAATGCCGGGGACGGTATGTGACAGAAGAATGGATTTGGTGTTCTGAACTCTTTAATAACTTACTTGCAGTCAAAGATGTGAATGTCACCTGATGCCCAAACCTCGAATCGCACGGCTCCGCAGTGACATCCTCCGCTGTGCTTCACCAGGCCTTTGTATTCGCTGTATACACACAGACAAGAAACACGGAGATTCATACTTTTCTATGTATTATGTGACAATCATTGTGAATCAGGAAAACGGGGGGGACCATGTGATGTGTGTTCATCTACCTTTTCATTTATTATATCTGTACTGCACCACAGGAACCTGTTAGGGCCCATTCACACCTAATGCACAATGCACCTAGCATGCATTACCATGCACTTGGTGTGTTGGGTGGCAATTCATCTGAATGACACCCTAACGCACCTCCAGGCTGCGCTGCAAAGCACAGAAACACCATGTGTTGCATTGCAATAGGAAAAAGAAGTGTATGCACTACTTTTTTTCACCACAATGCATGGCATTGCAGTACTTCACATTGCTCTGCAATCCAGTACACAGCAGTTGGGAAGTGTGTTGGGCTGCCATTCAAATGAATACTCACAGGGGCATAACTAGAAAAATCACAAGGCTCCATAGCAAAATTTTGTATGGGGCCCTGTGATTTCTAGATGCCCCTTGCAAAGCCCACCTGAGTGGCCCTGCAGAGACCATCATAGACTCTCTATGGTGGGCTCTGCAGGGTCTCAGGTGGGCTGGTCCCACCCCTGCACACCTCTTATCTGTCAGCCTTCTCCACCGCCAGGCCCTGCCTCCTCCGCGGTCACTGGCAGGCCCTCCCTCCTCCTCCTCTGCGGTCACTGGCGTACCCCACCTCCTCCTCCGCACAGATCACCGACAAGTTGTCAGTGTTTCAGAACAGCAGCGCATTCCTCCTCACAGCCGTCAGTGACAGGCAGCAGCTTGCGATGTCCTAGCGACCCACACGGCATCAGGGGGACCCCTTTCTTCCTCGTCCTGGCTGGGCCCCCCTGTGCTCTGGGCCCCATAGCGGCCACCTAGGTCACTATAGTGATAGTTCCACCACTGAATACACACAGTAAATCACTCTAGGTGCACTGTGCCACGGTAATCGCATGGTATTGTCCAATTATCGCTATGCTTTGGTGTGAACAGACCTCTAGATTCAAATTCTGTTTTCACACACTTGTAACTTTCCAGGGTGCACCGAGTAATAGTGAAAAGGAACCTGTCAGGACATAATTATGGGAGCTGTCACTGCCTACATGTTTGTGAAGGTGCATTTTCCGGGGCTGCCATCCTTATCCTTACCAAGGTACAGGGTTAGCCACTGACCTGGCACACGAATGTGCACTTGAGGTGTCAGAAATGCACACGATGTTCGGGGTCAGTAAAATAAGCATAATTGCCCTGGAACACGCAGCGTCAGAAACAAGTCTGCAACAAGCAGCTCCCATCATTTTGTCCTGATGGGTTCAGTTTAGAAGAGAAAAATGCAGAGGCTGCCACTGCTGACCGCTTTCTGAACATGCTTGTTGCACACTGCTCCTATCTCTGTGACATTCTGCCGGTAATGATTGAGAAGGATGTATAACTGGGGTGAAAGGGATGTTTGTTTCTTTATTTCCCGCAGTTTTGCTTTAATGTCACATTGAGGCAACATAAGTTCTTACACTGTCTTCTCAATGTGACACCTGATCTGATCTGATAGATGTACCTGCTATAGGAATGTATTTCACACTGAATAATCACAGCATGACGAGGCCGTGTGACCGGCACAGCCGCCTCCTGCGACATGGAACAGATGGGGAGCGGGCTCAGAGGAGACAATTATCAGCTGAAGTTTGATTGAATTATTTCCTCTTTGCTGGACACAAATTCCTGCAGCCAGCCTCCAATTATACAGACATCGTGTGAAATCACACACTGGGTCCAAGCTGCTCTGTGACAATGGAACACATTGCGCAGCACCTTGTATGAAAGCTGCGGAGAGAATCAACTTTACAAACTGACACATACAGTCAATAGTGGGCACCTCCATAGTGAGCTCCTCCATAGAGGGCACCTCCATAGTGAGCATCTCCACAGTGGGCACCTCCATAGTGGGCACCTCCACAGTGAGCTCCTCCATAGTGGGCTCCTCCATGGCGAGTACCTCCACAGTGAGCATCTCCAAAATTGGCACTTCCACGGTGAGCATCTCTAAAGTGAGCTCCTCCTACTTGGCAAGCACTTCCATAGTGAGCTCTTCCATGGAGTGCATCTCCATAGTGAGCACCTCCATAGTGAGTACCTACATAGTGGGCTCCTCTATAGTGCGCTCCTCCATACTGGACTTCTCCACAGTGAGCTCCTCCATAGTAAGCACATCCATAGTGAGCTGTGGGCACCGGCCAGCTTCAGTCTGAAAATTAAAAGGAGCCAACTGGGAAATTCTCAGCCAAATAGTGACCGCAGCCAATCAGATGCAAGCAATATTCAGGTATTCTGACAGCTGCCGGAGCCACTGCTGTCAGAATACAGTAGGCGGCAGTGGAGATTCCGGGGGCCTAGTGATGAGATGACATTCATCTGAACTTACATGGTCAAGATTTTGTGACCATTTTATGGGGCTTAGGAGATTCTGATTGGCTGTTTCTGATCATCTGCACTCTAAACATGAACATCATTTTGTTTTGTCACTGGGATAACACTTCTCAAAAACAAGCATCTCCAGCTGATTATTTCCTGCAATTGGTAGATAGGTTCAATAACTGTAAAGCTGCCCATACACCTGACGATTATCATACGATAATTGCGGGTGATCCCGCGATCGTACCATAATCGTAAGGTTGATGGGCAGCGTGCAACCGCATTTACTGTACGGTCGCACGATTTCCATATAACGAGCACGCTAGAAAACCCACAAAAATCGTACAATTTTCAGCAGATTGGTAGCGCAATCGCAAGACAAAAGCCGCACCACCCGAGGTGCGCAAGCGCACACTGCCTGCTCACCATTGCAATCATCTGCAGGCCCTAGCCTTAGCGGGGAGGACTTGGGACGATCGCAAGTACAATCTACCTGTCCAAGATGGGCAGGTCGTACGAACTTTTAATCACCTTACAACCATCGCACAACGAAAGTCGTGTCGTGCAATGGTCGTAAGGTGCATGGCCAGCTTTAGTCTAACCGGTTGTTAGCAATCCTTGTTTGCATTTGTCAGTTCTTCGCTATGTGGATGATCACCTTTACAATGGCCGTACACAGGCACACAATGGCCGTACACCCCCCCCCCGTGACTTACACTTGTTGTGGTGCCTTTCTATGCATTGTACATGTGCTACTATGAATCCCCATGGAAGATGCACATACTGGAAGCCACATCAAGCAGGATTTTATCATTACACACCACATGCTAGGACACATTGATGTAAACAGTGCCTACATATTCCCTGTTGATGTACTCACCTCCTACACAGCGTCTCATCATATATTTACATGAACAGATTTCAGGTATCTTCGAAGTCACACAGCACTCTCACTTCCCCGGGATGACTACAATCTACATTCAGTAGGCTCTTAGGTGATGTGACGGAAGATTTGGTTGACCAATTACAAAAACAATATTAATGTTCAGAATTCTCTATTATATACAAATAAAAGGTTTTGCCCAACAGATTCCTAATACTATTTTTCTGGTGTTGGGTAAATATTAAAGAACATATGAGACACAGAGCCTATTCCAGGGTGTTTAATCCTCGCCGGCTTCACAGTTGTGTTAGAGATCTTTCTTATTATTTTATCCAACAGGTAATCACATTAACCTTCTATCTCCCATTTCCTATATCTTTCCCCAGCTCCAGCAGTGCCCATCACATCATGGCTGCAGGGATGTATAATGTAATGTAGCAGGTTAGGAGGTGGACTCAGGAACTAATATTTAAAAAAAATAAAAACCAAAATAAAAAAACTCAAAATAAATGGAAGTAGAAAAAGTAAAAATCTTTTAAAGATTTGTAATTTAAAAAAAAAAAAAATTATTTCATTTCAACCTCTATCCATTTTATTTCTCTCGTAGTATTTATTTATATATA